CGCTCTACCCTCCTCCCCTCCCTCCACTTGGGGTCTGGCCCTGCTCTAACGTCCCCTCTTCCCGCCACTTGGGGTTCAGCTCCACTCTACCCCCGCCGCCACTCCCCCTGCTGCTCCAGGCCCGGCCCTGCTCTACCCACCCCCCTCCCCTGCTCCCCTCTGCCTGCCTCTGCCCCTCTCCCATCTCCCTCCCTTCCAGCTGTTTTGGGGGGCATTGGGACCTGGCAGCAGGGGAGCACCACCACCGTGATCCCCCCTTCACCGTCAGGCAGGGAGGTGGCAGGGGGAGCCTTGCTGCTTGGATGGCCTAGGCATGTTCACTGCCACTCAAACTTCACCAGCAGCCGCGCAAACTTGGTCCTGCACAGCCCAGGCTGCACAGCCAGTCGCTGCCCGCCCTCTCAGCAGCACATGCACAGTTGCCCAAAACCATTACGGACTGACAGGCAAACTAAGCCTTTTATTATATTAGAATTTACAATTTTCAAGCAGTTAGGAAGCCTTTCAGTGCCTCATTTATTATAATAAAATAAATTATAAATACCTATATATTTTTGCATTTGATTTTGGCCATTGCCCATCACTTGCAACCCACAGCCCCCCACCCACCCAGGTCTCCTGGTGCCGCTCACTCCTGACCCATAGCCCCCTGCCTTCCCAGCTCTCCTGGTGGCCCTCGCTCTTGACCCACTGCCCCCACACCTCAATCCCTGCCAGTAATCCTCACTCATAACCTGCAGCCCCCTGGTCCTGCCAGTGCCCCTCACTCCCAACCCACAGCCTTCCACCCCCTCAGCCATGGTGGTGTCCCTCACTCCTGATTCACAGCCCCTTCGTCCCCTCCAGGGCCCCTAATTCCCAATCCCCCCCCCCCCAGCCCTGCCTGAGGGGCCTTCAGCTGCCAGGGCTACAAGCTCCAGTGGCTTCATCCTGCCTGCTCCATGCTCTGTGGGCCCTAGTCACAGCCACCCAGCAGTGCCTGAGCCCCAGCTGCCATGCATGGGAGGCAGCAGCTGCTGTGGCCGGAGCAGAACACAGCCTGGTCTCCTGCTTCCTCCCCCCCCTGCCCATGGGCGGCATGGCCAAAGCAGAGCCCATGGGAGGCAGGGATGGGGCAGGAGGTGGGCTGCCTGCTGTGGGACTCAGGTCTCCCTGCCCTGTTGCCCTCCCCCCCATCAGCCTCTGTGGCCCAGTCGGTGGG